TTGGCGGAGCAGGACTATAAAGGAGGAGAGAGACGGCATTCACCAGGAACATCTAAGGGGAACATCTAGCTGAAGGAACACCCGTGCAGCCCCCGAGAAAGCCGGCCGGCGGTGTGCCGCTCCCCTGCGGAAGTGGGGAATGTGGCCAGGGGGAACTGCCCTTCCACGGAGGTGGAAGGGATAGTAGCCAACCCGGGAAGAACCAGCAGCAAACCCGGGGAGGGCCGAGCAGACGAAAGGACAGCGCAGGGTCCTGTGTTGCTCCTCCACGAAGAGGGGGAGCGACATAATGGTGCCGTGACTCGGATATGAAGCCTAGGCAGGGTTTAGTGTCGTTCCCCCATGAAGACGGGGAGCGACATAATGGTGCCGTGACTCGGATATGAAGCCTAGGCAGGGTCCTGTGTCGTTCCTCCACGAAGAGGGGGAGCGACAGTTCCTACTCCCAGGCAGTGCTGACCTTGGCAGACTGTGGGCTCTAGGCATGATTTAGCATTATAGCACTGGTGGCCACAGGACTAGGTGTGTAGGCTACCCTAGCCCCAGGAAGAGGCTTTTAGGGGTGTGTTAACCCATTGTAGATATATTCCCAGTTTATTCTGAATTACACATTACCCATAGTTGTGCGGCAAGTCTGAACCTGGGGAATATTTTATTCACTGAAACAGTGAGAACATACCAATGGACCTACAGCAAAGGTCGCCTTAGGGCCCCACCTAGAGCAGAAATAGAATTGTCTATGGGCACAAAGAAAATACAGGCTGTTGAGAAAGACAGCCACAAATGAAGCCAGTCTTCTAATATACAGATGATGTCATACAATAACAACCTTCAAGAGCTTTCAGAGAGCCATGACCTCACCTAGCAAACAAAATAAGGTGCCAGAAACCACCTAGGAATTGAAATTTGTGTGTGGGAAGTTCATGAGTTCAACTCTAGGTGGGCTGAGGTGCAGGTGTTATCAATCAAAGTGGATATGTAGATCTTGGGCCAGAAGGAAAGGTGTGACCATAAGACATACCCACAGTGGCAAAATCCCAGAACTCAGGCTGGAGTTCACTTGCAGGTCTTGGTTTCTGGGAGGAAGTGGCAAGAGCAATGTGGGATTCCAGGCATAAAAAACCTTTTAAAAATTAGTTAAATTTTTATTTCCATTCTAATTGAAAGGCAAGGAGGGAGGAAGGGATACAGGGTGAGAAAAGAGAGAGATTGGTTTACTCCCTAAATGCTTATAACAACTAGTGCTGGGTCAGGCTGAAACCAGGACTCAGGAACCCAACATGGGTCTCCCACATTGGGTGGTAGGAACCCAAGTACTTGGGCCATCATCTGCTGCCCGCCAGTCTGCATATTAACAGAAAGCTGGATCAGAAATGGAGGGGCCAGGACTTGAACCAGGCACTCCAATACGGCATGCAGACATCCCAATCAGCATCTTAACCACTATGCCAAATGACTGACCCATAAAAGTGTTGTTGAGCAGAGAAGGCTCCAAGTAACAAAACTGAGTTTCAGAATAATAAACCTGAATTCGTATATTGGGGCCAGCACTGTGGCACCGGTTACGGGTTAATGCCCTGGCCTGAAGCACCGGCATCCCATATCGGCTATGGTTCGAGACCTGGCTGCTCCACTTCCGAATCAGCTCTCTGTTATGGCCTGGGAAAGCAGTGGAAGATGGCCCAAGTCCTTGGGGTTCCTGCATCCATGTGGGAGACCTGGAAGAAGCTCCTGGCTCCTGGCTTCAGATTGGCTCAACACCAGCCACTGTGGCCATTTGGGGAGTGAGCCAGCAGATGGATGATCTCTCTCTCTCTCTCTCTCTCTCTCTCTCTCTCTCTCTCTGTGTGTGTGTGTCCACCTGTCTCTGTAACTCTGTCTGTCAAATAAATAAAATAAATCTTAAAAAAAGTCTGGGCCGGCGCCACGGCTCAGTAGGCTAATCCTCCGCCTTGCAGCGCCGGCACACCGGATTCTAGTCCCGGTCAGGGTGCCGGATTCTGTCCTGGTTGCCCCTCTTCCAGGCCAGCTCTCTGCTGTGGCCCGGGAGTGCAGTGGAGGATGGCCCAAGTGCTTGGGCCCTGCACCCGCATGGGAGACCAGGAGAAGCACCTGGCTCCTGCCATTGGATCATCGTGGTGCGCTGGCCACAGCACGCTGGCCGTGGTGGCCATTGGAGGGTGAACCAACAGAAAAGGAAGACCTTTCTCTCTGTCTCTCTCTCTCTCTCTCTCACTGTCCACTCTGCCTGTCAAAAAAGAAAAAAAAAGTCTGTATCTCCTTACACAGTCTTATTGGGTGGCAGGGGGAACAGCAGGTTAGGACTTTACCAAATCAATTTGGTAGCAATACAGTGTAACCCATAACACCAGAACTGTAGACTTTTATATTATTGTGATCATGAAAATCCAAACCATGTTTTTATTACATGAATTTAATAGATATTTCAGAATTGTGTCTATCATTAGCTCCCACCAAAGGCACGTCACAGGCTGAGAAGAGCCTCAAGCTCCCAGAGCACCATGTGGGCCAGTGTTCAGGTCAGCGTGATGATGGAGCCATGATGGGAAAAGGCTGTTTGATACACTCCATTGCTGTTAGCTGTAGTGTAAGCCCAGGTGAGTAGTGAAATCCCAGGCTGCTCTCTACTCATGTTCCTGCACATATTCATGATAGAGTCTTCCTCTGTTAGTGAGTAGAAATGTACAAAACATTGATAGAACTTGGAAACCACAAATTACAGAAAACACTCATAGGGGTTTGTGATTTTGTAGGGCTATAAATTCAATGAAAAAATCAGTCAACAAATCTAGCCATCTTATCATGCTGATAAATCAAACTTTAGGCAAAGTCTCCACAGCAAATGGCTTTGCCCCAGTTTTTGCTCTGTGTCCCTGGAGAACATACTATAAAACACATTATTGCAGAAGGCTGCGTCAATCTTAAATGCTTTGGAGGCCACACTCTTGTTTCAAAGAAATCGTGGACTAGATTACGAATATAAAGTACACGTAAAACCACAACATCTATAAACCTTTATAATCATGTAAGTAGTAAAATGATGTTGGAGGCCATAAAATAGACATAAATGTACTGTGTATATGGGTAATAAACTGGGCAGTAATGTACTATAAAATATACCTCTGTTTTATTAAAAATACAACTTTACCAAGTCATAAATTCTCCTCTATCTAACACACTTCACATTGGGTTTGCTTGACTGCTAATTCCGAGGTGACTGTGAGGTATGCTTTTGACCTTGCTCACTAATTCTGTTCAAGGAAGGTGGAGGTCTTAGTTGTGTGTGTGTGTGTGTGTGTGTGTGGTGTGTTTCCTAGAGGAGTCTCTTGTAATTAACCCAAGAGATTTTATTCTCAGTATTTCTCTCCACGTTGGAATCATTTCATTGCAGCGTCTTTAGTTAAAGACAGATTCCATACCCAGTGGGTTTTGAGAGGAGCCTCCTGTTGAGTCTCGTTCTCTCTGCTACCACCTTTTTGACTTCCAACACCTGTCATCCAGGTGTCATTTTTTTAACTGCCCCAAATCACATGTACCTCCTCATTTCAGAGTTTCAGATTCTCTTCCATGATGTGAATCTTGAGCGCTGGTGGGGGAGTGGAGCATGGTGGGAGGTAGCAGGCAGGATCTTCCTGGAGACACAGAGAACAGTCAGAGGGTTGGACATGACCCTCCAGCCTGGGACGGTGACTCTCTGGGGAGCCATGCAAAGACACAGGGGCAGCTGAGACATGATGTCCTCAGGTGTTGAGACAGAGCCCGTGCTGCCCCTGGCCCTGGTGTCCAACGCAACCCTTGCTGCTGCCCAGCCTTCTTGCTGCTCAGCTTTGCTGGGTTCTTGACCGTTCTCCAAGGTCAACCCTTTTTAGTCACCCTGTGGAGCGAATGTGCTTGCTGCCTGGCATCCTTCCAGTGACTTTTCGTTTGCTTAAGTTAGTCTGAGCTTGTGTCTGTGGCTCGTGGCTCTCTGCTGTGCAGGGAGATTTGGAGGGTGAAGCCTCGTACAAGCAGTGGTGCCCGTTTGCATAAGGAGTGGAGTACATGAATGGTGCGAGATGCCGAAATGCGACTCTCAGGTGTTTATTTTTCACACATGGCTGACATTCTTGCAGTGGTAAGTTCAGGCGTTTTTCATGGCGGCATCCTCATGTGTTTTGCAAGGAACTGAGAGCAATTTCAGCTCTCTCTGTCTCTGTACTCAGTGCTCACTCAGTCATGACCATCTATATATTTAGATCCTGCTGTTTGGTAGGGACATCTGGTCCTGGATGCTGGGGTGCAGACCTCAGGTCCAGAGCGCTCCTCCCCTTCCTTTGCTGAGCTTCTCATTCAGATCTCTCATTTCCTCCTCTGGCGTCTGACCCCAGCTTAGGAACCCTTGAGTGCAAAACACCAGGCTGAATCTTGGCAAGATAGGGTAGAGGGCTCAACTACTTCCTCCCAGGAGGCCTTTCTCTCTCTCTCTCTCTCTCTCTCTCTCTCTCTCTCTCAAGATTTCTTTATTTATTTGAAAAGCACAGTTACAAAGAGAGAGAAGGAGAGGCAGAGAGAGAGAGAGAGAGAGAGAGAGGTCTTCCATCCATTGGTTCACTCCCCAATTGTCCGCAACAGCTGGAGCCGCACTGATCCGAAACCAGGAGCTAGGAGCTTCCTCCAGGTACCCCATGTAGGTGCAGGGGCCCAAGGCCCCAGGCCAACCTTAATTGCTTTTCCAGGCCATAGCAGAGAGCTGGATCATAAATGGAGCAGCTGGGATTTGAACCAGCGCCCTTATGGGATTCGAGAACTACAGGCGGCAGCTCTACCTGCCACAGCACTGCCCAGGTAGTTAGGGACCTTGAATGTTTTCACTCAGCCTTGGGGATCTGGTTCTCACTCTGCTTAATCGCTAGACATAGCAGCCTTATGTGGAGGGAACAGAGTCTATTTTTCCTTAGAAGTGTTCATCTAGCCCAGAGTAGTTGCTTGACTGTGTCTTTTGTGGAATGATTGGATTCTCCCGTCCAGGGTCTCCATCTAGGAAATGAATTCCCTTAATTATCAAATCTGAAAAGATTTTGGAAGAGTGAGGTTTAACAAGGATTTCAAACATTTGAAAACCAGTGACAATTCCATCTATTCATTAGGTTGCTTCAGATTTGTGTCTTTGGCCCTATTACACTTGCAAAATTCATTAGTGTTGGAATTATATAAAACAGAGTCGATTTATTAATTTACAGTGTGTGATTGCCTAGTGCTGCTGACTGCAAATGGTATTCCCTTTCTGCATATTTCTCAGGTAACTAAATTCAGATCAGAACACTGCTGGGTGAATATATAATTAGACTCCAAAGGGAGTTGCGAGTCCCCAAGCGACATTCCTAACAAGCTATGGCGGTTAACAGAAATACCTTTCTTCTCTCTGGGGAGAAAGAGTATTTCTGTTCACCGATTGTCTGAGAGGAAATAGCACAGCTGCTAGAGCTGAATTCGGGAGCTTCTGGCTTTTGTGTTGTGTGTGTTTCACTTCTCAGCACTCCAGCCCCTGCTGAATTCAGATACCTGGATTGCTCACAGCAGAGAATCAGGTAAGAGTTATTTTTACCTTGGTCTGAATTCAAATTTCTGTATTATTTTTTTCACTCCTAAAGAAAAATGGGATCTGTTCCTTCCACATAAGGCTGCTGTGTCTTGTTCCAATGGAAGGAAATCCACGCAGGCATGAGTGTGGGTCAGAGGGCAATCGACCAGTGTTCCTGATAGAGCAACCCACGTGGGCGGGCTCCTACCCTGTCTACAAATAAAGAGGTTCAGTTTCTGCTTTGGAGACCCAGGACTGTTTGTTTGAATTACATAACTGTGGGGTGTGTTTTCTGGGAAAAACATTGACATTGTCTCTCAGCTATGTTTTCCCAAACTCCATGAAGACTTTCACTTATCTTTTCTCTTGATGCTTCACCTTCCCAAGGAGAGTTCACATCAGGGCTCTGGCCTGCTCCATCCTCTTCTCTCCTAGGAAGCTCCTCTCCAGGGTAGCTACATGCTACTTTCCTTTGAAATCCCTGTCAGCTTCTCTTCAGAGCTCTGCCCTCTACCTCCACATCCCCACAGCACTCATTACCACCTGCCAATTCATTGTACGTTCAGTTATTTTTCTTCTTAAAGAATTGTTGTTGTTGTTTTTATTTTGTGCCACTTGCTTATTTGAAAAGCAAAGAGATAGAGGCAGAGATCTTTTACCCACTGGTCTACCTCTTACATGTCCACAACTAAGTTCAGGCTGGGCAAAGCCAAAGTCAGGAGCCTGGAACTCAATCCAGGTTTCCCAGGTGGGCGGCAGAAACCCTACTACTTGAGCCACCTCTGCTGTCTCCCAGGGTGTGCACTAGCAGGAAGCTGGAATCAGAAGAGAGAACTCTGATATGGGATGGGGGAATCCCAAGTGGTGTTTTGACTGCTGCACCAAATGCCTGTTTATTATAAATGCTATTTATTATCCCTCTCTCTTATGTGTTAGCTTCAAGAGGCCAGGGGATTTAAAAAAATTTATTTATTTGAAAAGCAGAGTTACAGAGAGGCAGAGGCAGAGAGAGAGAGAGAGAGAGAGAGAGAGAGAGATATCTTCCATTTGTTGGTTCACTCCCCAAATGGCAGCAACGGACAGAGCTGGTTCGATTCGAAGCCAGGAGCCAGGAGCTTCTTCCAGGTCTCCCACACAGGTGCAGGGGCCCAGGGACTTGGGCCATCTTCCACTGCTTTCCCAGGCTATGGCAGAGAGCCAGATCGGAGGTGGAGCAGCTGGGACTCGAACCAGCACCCATATGGCATGCTGGCACTGCAGGCGGTGGCTTTACCTGCTACGCCACAGCGCAGATCCTGATGTCTGTTTCTTAGTGAGTACCTGGTACATGGTTAACTTTCTAGTATCGACTCATGAATGTCTTAATCCTGAGTGCACAGGATATTTCTCTGGGATTATTTGTCAGATGGGCCCTTTCTTTTCTTTCTTTTCTCCTGGCTCCTGGCATTGAAATCCCAGGGTGAGCAAGGTTCATTCTGCATGGTTTTCTATGGACTAATGGAGCTGTTGCTGTCCATGGGTTCTGGCTGCCTTCTTGTCCCCAGATGGCAGTTTTTCCTGTCTGTGGGTTCTCCATAGCTTAGCCTCTGCAGATCCCCGTTTACTGATTACATCATCACTGTTTCCACATGGCTTGAAGGATGATGGCAGTGAGGAGAAGTCAGCAGCTGTGCGGGGCTGACTGGCGTTGGGGGCCCAGTGTGTGGCGTGCTGAAGGCACTTCATGCATATTTGTAGGCTCAGTGACTGTGAACGAATGATAACTTACTGGCGTGGAACACAACCACATAAACACTGCAGGGGTAGAGTGCACGGCAAAGCCCAGTGCCCAGCAAACTCGCTTCTAGTAGGTTCCAGATAGGATTTATTTCCGCCCCTTAATTCAAGATCCTTTTTCTACTCCTTATTTAGACATGAAGGGAAATGAGAATAAATGTACCAAATCATTGTTTCATAGCTGATCATTAATTATAATTTGTCCAAAGTGTAAGCTCTGTAATTTAGCCTGAGTTACTGTAATTATAGCAAATCAGTAAGTGTACTTATAATAATATCTTTTTCTCCAAATTATCAATTTAAAAATTGTATGTTAAAATATTTTTAGAGTTAAGCTTCTCTCACCCGTGTCTTCTAGTTTCTGTGTTACGATCCATAGATTAACCACAATTCCTAGCTTCTTCCATTCCTTTCCTGAATATATAAATAAAAATGGGAGCAAGTAGTCATCTTGCTCTTTTTGACTTACCATAGAATTTAGAAATTGCTGTGGTTTGATTTTTTTGCCTACTCCAGCTCCCAAAGTGATGGTTCAGGGTGTGGGACCTCTGGGAGGTTATTAGACAGGGGGAGAGTTCTCATGATTGGGATTAATCCCTTTGTAGAATAGACTGTCGAGAACTAGCTAGTCCCCTCCACCAAGGGAGTACACAGCAGGAAGTCACCATCTATGACATCTATGGGCCAGAAAGAGGTCCTAAACCAGACGCTGAATCCGTGGGCACCTTGATCTTGGGCTTCTTAGCATCCAGAACTGTGAAAAATATAGATTTTCTGTTTATAACTGGCTTAGTTTATGGTATTTTGTTATAGCAACCTGAATGCACTTAGACATAGCTCATCCCATTTTATTGTATAGAGTTGCCTCATTTCTTGAACAGCCAGGAATAATTCTACTCTGTAAGTCTATGAGAATATAATCTTTTTCTATTGATTCATATTTGTCTCCAAAAACCGCAATTACAAATAACATCATTTTATACAGATAGAGCTGCAGGATAAAGTTCTAGAGGGGGAATGGCTGTGTCAAAGGGTATGGACATTTGGGATTTTCATAGACAAGGCCAAATTGTCTCCCTTGAAAGTCATACCTTTCCATCCTTCCCTCTGATTGCTAGTCTTCAGTGACAGTTCTCTTTATTGGTATTCCCTTTGCTGGGAACTTTTTTGTCTTATCCTTCCCCATCTTTGTATTAGGTTCTTCTTCTGCATATTATTAATTTGTTAGAGCTTTTTGTCTATCAGAAAAATTAGCTAAAGCTATTGTTACTGACAGCAGTTCACTAGGGCTAAGGCCACCAGAAAATATGGCATCAAAATGTGCTCAATGGGCTTAAAAATTCACACGTCATTTTTAGAACTGTTTCTAAAAATGAAAATGTGTCTAGAAACATTCCCATAATATTATTTAACTTCTTGAAATAGTAAGTGACAAGTATGCAGTAGACAGACAGTGCCAGCAGCCAAGTGTGCAATGCACAGATATTGAGAGCTCAAGAGGAGAGCCTGGTTATCCATTTCTACTCTTCCAGTTTATAGGTAAGACACCAAGGGAGAGGAAATGTGGGTTATTTGGTTACAACTAAAAAATGGGCTCAAATAGGCTCACATAATTAAAATAAATAAAGTATCGGTTCATTTAAAAAGAAGCTCAAAGTCAGTGCTGTGTTTGGGGCTGGATGATGCAACTATTTAACAGCAGTATCACCGCCAACTGGCAGGTACCAGTACCAGAGGGAGCGGGGGCTACATTTCCTTGTTTTTCTTTCAACAGGACAAACAGAACGTGGCCTCTGAAAAGCCTCTTAGAGGAAGGAGGGCAAATCATATTAGAAGTCCACAGCAAACCTCCACCTCATTGGTCTTTACTAAGTCACATTGCTCTACCTGAGCCAATCACTGCCAAGGGGAAGGTCCCTTTCAGACCCATGGGGATTACCACTGGAGGAGGGGTCATGTCAGTTTCCAAACCATAATGGGGTGCTGGGGAGAAGTTGGTATCCAAACAAAATCTGAAGTCTGTGCTATGTAAAACATCGTTACTTAATATCTTGTTGTTTTTAATTTATAAACATAAAAAAGAAATAGATGCACTTGACATCTGTATCAATCAGGGTTCTCCATAGGATCAGAACCAATAAAACACACACACACACACACACACACACACACACATTACTTGGTTCAGCCCAGTTTAGGGGCCGTCAGTTCTGAAATCCATAGGGCAGACCAGCATGCTGGAAATTCAAGGAGAAGCTAAGGGTGCAGTCTTGAGCAGAAATCTTCCTTCTTCAAAAAATTTTAGTCTGATTGGACCAGACCCACCCACATGACTGAGGGCAACCTCCTTGTCTCAAAATGACCTGGTTCATCCCGTTGACAAAATACCTTCACAGCAGCATGCAGGTGGGTGCCCGGCCAAGCAACCAGGCATTATGACCTAGTCATGTTGACCGAAAAAATTAACCATCATACAATCCTTATCTTCCAATCTTATTTCCTTCCTCTTTCTAATTTCAAGTTTCCTCGGAATGGGAGACTGTGGTGTGATTGCAAAAGCATAAACCTTGTGGTAAGAGTGGGGAGGATAATACATGAATCACTGGTCTTCATGTCAGTCCACAGGATCCACACAGGTGTCTCCAGGGACAATGCGGCAGGTGTGCTACAGATGAGACGCTCACTGTCCAGCTCACACAGGGTCACAGTGTTCTACACACAGCTCTTCCTGGGTGTGTGCAGTAACACACCCAGCCAGCAGTCCAGAGCATGGGTCCAGGCTCTGCAAGTACTGTCAAAGGAAGAAATTGAGGTTAGAAACCTTTCACAAGGACTCCCTCTGACTCTGCCCACCATGATGACAATGTGTGTTTGACAGCACCGGTGAATAAAGGCTGTATGTTTTGGACGTTTGTTTTAATAGATATTCTAACATAATTCATAGGAGTGCAGCTCCAAGCATCTCTCAGACTATTTCAGGCCTGTTTTGGTTATAGTGTGTAGTTAGTAGATCATTTTAAAACTCATTTTATATTTTTTTAATATTTATTTTTTATTTATTTGATAGGCAGAGTTACAGAGAGGCAGAGGCAGAGGCAGAGACAGAGAGATAGGGCTTCCATCTGCTGGTTCACTTCCCAAATGGCCAAAATGGCTGGAAGCCAAGAGCCAGGAGCTTCTTCTAGGTCTCCCACGTGGATGCAGGAGCCCAAGCACTTGGGCCATCTTCTATTGCTTTCCCAAGCCATAGCAGAGAGCTGGATTGGAAGTGGAGCAGCTGGGACCCAAACCGGTGCCCATATGGGATGCTGGCACTGCACACGGTGGCTTAAGGCTGCTTTTCATAATCTAAATTCCTCTTCCTTTACGGGAAGGGGATAATTTTAGCACCTGGTAATTTTTATTTTTACTTGCTTTCAGAGTTCTTGTTCATCTCAAACTGTAGGAAAATTTAGAATATTTCTGCCCCCAAAGCCATTCCGTGACAGTGACTTTAAAAAAAAAAAAAAAAGAGAGTCAGTTGCTGTTAAGAAGCAGAGATCAACAATCACAGACTCCCAGGAATTCTGGGTGGGCGGCTCCTGCTGGGCTGTCAGTTGGATCTTGCCTAATCTCAGAACCTTCCTGCTAACTCACGGAAGGCAGACCCCACAGGGAGGCAGTGGGTGTGTGTGTTTATAAGAAGGTGTGGACAGAACAAAGGGACTCTGGGGAGCAGCCAGTTTGGTGCCATTGAGGAATTCGCGTCTTGTGCAGAGTCAGCCTGAATGATTTCCTTCCTTCAAGAACTTAACTACTAATTGTGCGAGCAAAAACAAATGCAAGGTGACTTTTCCTCCCTGGGCCTGTGTCGGATCCGGAAGCCTCTTCGCCGCACAGCAGACACCGCTGGGAAGGGACACCGTGTCCTGAGACACCTGTGGGTCACCGCCCGGCCTGAAGCCTGGGAGGGGGAGGCAGGGACTCCAGGGCCGGCCAGAGGAACTGTTGCCACCGCCTGATTGGCCCGAACGCCTCTCCGGGACCTTGCCAGGCGTTACTGACCCTACAGGGGTTATCATACATGAGAAAGTAATTGTTTTAAACAGACGACATGCTGGCAGTGGTGTGTACCTGGGACCAGCCTTCCAGGTTCGCCCCGGCGGGTGCGGCGCTTTCTACGCTGCAGGTTTCGGGGTACAGACCTCGCTCTCAGCCACGTGCGGCTGGGGAGAATGGGAGGAGATGCGCCCTCCTGTGGCCGGCAGGAACACTGCATGGCGCGGGGAGGAAATGTTTTCCCTGAAAATATCCTTGCGCACAGAGGTAAACCAAACAAACCCAAGCGCCTCTGAAGCTCCGCCGCTTTTTCTTCACGTTTCTCGGGAGAGAGGATGATGGCCCCTGCAGAAGGCTAAGGGAAACACAGATTCCTTCCCGGGCTCTCCCCAGAGCCTGCCTGCCACCCACTGTGTAGGGAAGCAGGTTCATGTCTGAGCTGAGTTCCCGAATCAAATCTCTGCTCTTGGACACACTCTTTGAGAGGTCTCTTCCCTGTCCCTTGTGGTCCGCTGGTTCCAGTTGCTTCTCAGCACCGGCTTTTACAGGCATGCCTCACCCAGCTTTGATGGTAAGCGGGGGCATGAAATGGTTTGATTCCTTTGTCCATTCATTCATTTATATTTACAGCTTCTTTCAACTCTCTGTGCCCTGCCTCGCCCGTGACAGCGTCCCACAGGGCAGCAAGCCTCAGGAAGATGATCACACTGTTGTTTTAAGTTGCTAGAATAGCCTCATTTCAGTTCTCCTCATTTCTCAACATTTTAATGCAAACACCATTCAAAGCTTGCCTTTCCACCTCGGGTTAAGCTGTAGCCTTGGACCTGGCTTGGGCAGTGTGTGTGTGTACTTTGTGTATGTGTGTTCGTGAGTGCGCACAAGGGCTGTGTACACTCTGGCCCTGAGAACTTTCCCATAATGTCCTGTTGTTGTTGTTGTTTTGTTTTTCTAGAATAAAATCAATTCAGAAAGCTGTGATTTGTGTGTAAACAAGGAAGGGGGAATGGTATTTTGGCATGAGTTGGGACACCTCCATTCGACGGCCAGGTGCCTGGAACTGAGTCCCGGCTCCATCGTGATGCCAGTTCCCTGCTAACGTGTACCTTGGATGGTGATGGCCCAAGTAGCTGTGTGCCTGGTCAGCCATGGGGGAGTCTGGATTGAGTTCCGGGCCCCTGACTTTGGCCTGCCCCAACCCAGGCTGTTGCAGGCATTCAGGGGGTGAACCAGCAGATGGGAACTCTCTTTCTCAGTCTCAAAAATACATAAATGAAATATGAATTACATGTAGTAGAGCATTCGTTCATGAAAAGCTTTGTTTCAGTTGTGTGTGTGTGTGTGTGTGTGTGTGTGTGTGAGCATAAGGGTGACAAGAGCTGCCGGCTGCCTGGGACAGTGTGTGTTGTGTCCTAATGAAACTTGCATCTACTACGGGCCGTGTTTAGAGAAGTTGGAAGTCCCTGTGCTAGCTAGGTCTCCTCATTTAGGGTTGGGGAGGAGCTGAGTCCAGGGGAGCGAAGAGGGGTGACGGCGTCCCGGGTGTCCGCTGTCAGTTGTGGAGATGCCAGCCCCCTGCCCTGCCCTGATTGATTCTGGTCCATCTGAAGCCAGTGGCCACCATGGTGATGTGGTGTTGGCGAGTTGTGCTCCGTGTCAGCCTCTCTGAGGAGCTGCCCTGTTTGCATTTGGCTCACACTCTGCCTGCCCCGACCTCTTCGTGGTGGGCATCCCATTACTCGGCTCGGTGGCCCCACCACTTACCTCTGTGTTCACAGGGGACCACGGACACCACTGGTGACCTCGTTTAGACCCTCTACGTTTGCCCAGTTTTCTCCTCATGTGTGCAGCACCTCTGTCCCTCCAATCTCGCTGACAGGAGTCACCCCAAAAGGTCCTGCCTGGAGAACTCTAGGCCTGGGATGGACCTGAACCTGTGTTCAAATGCATCCTCCCTAAGGGTCAATGATGAATAGTAAGGGCATTTTAAAAAAGATTTATTTAGTTATTTGAAATTCAGAGTTACACACAGAGAGAAGAGAGGCAGAGAGAGAGAGAGAGAGGGAGGGAGAGAGGTCTTCCATCCACTGGTTCATTCCCTAATTGGCTGCAGTGGCCAGAGCTGTGCCGATCCAAAGCCAGGAGCCAGGAGCTAGGAGCTTCTGGGTTTCCCATGCAGGTGGCAGGGGCCCAGGGACGTGAGTCATCTTCCACTGCTTTCCCAGGCCATAGCAGAGAGCTGGATTGGAAGTGGAGCAGCTGGGACTTGACTTGCCTCCCATATGGGATGCCGGCACTGCAGGCAGTGGCTTTACCCACTACGCCATAGCACAGGCCCCGAAGGGCATTTTGTAACAAAGATGGCACAGCTCATTTCCCAGCTTCCAGAACATTCCAAAGAGTCCTCCTGGCGGGCTACATTCTGCTGTTGAGAGCATCTGGTTGGGAAACAAGAGGAAAATTTTTCCTTCCTGCAGGCACCTTCCTGCCCCATAGCCCTGCCCTGCCCTTAGGTGAAAGAGAGGCCTGTGGAAAGGAGCCATAGGGCACGAACGTTCTGTTCCCAGAGCCCAAGCTCCTCTGTGTCCCTCAGCTCTCCTGGCATAGGAGAAGGAAGTGGTAGAACTGGTTCTGCAGGGCGGTGTCTGCCCTCAACCGCTGAGGTCTCCTTGAACTTGGAGTGTGAGGTCGTCCTGGCCCTCTCTGACCTCAGTGTGGGCTTCAGCTGCAATTCAGGAGCAATAGAGGAGAATCCCTCCCCGGGTAATAACCCATGGTGCAACTTTTCCAGGCCAAGGTCTGCAGGCTTCCTTCCGTGCAGCTCTGTCTCTAGCTTTGTCCGTGGCACAGCTGTTTAAGCCATGGGCTGGTGTGCCAGCATCCCATAAGAGTACTGGTTCTAGTCCTGGATGCTCCACTTCCAATCCAGAATCCTGCTAATGCTCCTGGGAAAATAGTGGACGATGGCCTGAGTGCTTGGGTCCCTCCCCAAGCATTCAGATAGATAAAATGGATACCACGGAGGCGTCCAGCCCTGCCCATGGCCTTGTTCCTGCGGCCCCAGGTCTCTTCCTGTCATGCGGCGATTTCCTGAAAGCTTCCTCCCAGCCGGCAATGGGAGCTGACCCTCCGGGCCCCTGCATTTGGCTTCCTTGTCTACCGTGAGTTTCTTTCCTTTTCCCTCACAGGGAGATGAGGGCTTGTGTGTCTGCCTCCATGGCCAGACTCGACGGCGTCCACATAGCGGGTGCTGAAACAATGCTTTCACTCGCAGTGGCTGGCAGGAAAGAACTTCTTGGTCGTTTGCAATGAGTCCTATGTAATTGGCTAAAATGGGGCCCATGTTGTGGTGCAGTAGGAAAAGCTGTCACGTGTGTACTGGCGTTCCATATGGGCACCGGTTCAAGTCCTGGCTGCTCTATTTCTGATCTAGCTCCTTGCTAATGCACCTGGGATAGCAGCGGAAGATGTTCGCATGTTTGGGTGCCTGAAACCATGTGGGAGACCCAGAAGAAGCTCCTGGTTCTGGCTTTGTCCTGTCCCACTCTGGCTGTTGCTGCCAATTGGGGTGTGAACCAGCAGATGGAAGATCTCTCTCTCAGTGTGTGTGTGTGTGTGTGTGTGCACGTGTGTGGGTGTGTCTCCCTCTCTTTGTGTAACTCTGCAGCAGGCTCATTTTATTATTATTTTCTTTTTTTAAAAAAGATTTATTTTGAAATTCAGTATTTAAAAGGCAGAGTTAAACATATGTACACTCAAAGAGGGGGAGAGAGAGAGACAGAGACCCAGAGAGATAGACACACACACACATAAACACACACACACACAGAGTGGGGGGGGTAGAGAGATAGATCTTCCATTTGCTCTTTTCCTCCCCGAATGGCTGCAACAGCTGGGGCTGGGCCGGACTGAAGCCAGGAGCCTGGAGCTCCATCCAGGTCTCCCAGGTAGGTGGCAGCGGCCCAGGCACTCAGGCCATTGTCCACTATTTTCCCAGGAGCATTAGCAGGATTCTGGATTGGAAGTGGAGCATCCGGGATTAGAACTAGTACTCTTACGGGATGCTGGCATGCCAGGCCATGGCTTAAACAGCTGTGCCACAGGGACAACCCTTATTATCATTGTTATTATTTTTCTTTTTTAAAAATATTTATTTTATTTAACATTTGAAAGAGTTAGAGAGAGAGGTTGAGACAGAGAGAGAGAGGTCTTCCATCCGCTGGTTCACTCCTCAAATGTTTGCAATGGCCAGAGCTGATCTGGTTCAAAGCCAGGAGCCAGGAGCTTCTTCTGGGTCTCCCATGTAGGTGCAGGGGCCCAAGGACTTGGGCCATTTTCTGCTGCTTTCCCAGGCACATTAGCAGGGAGCTGGATCAGAAGTTGAATAGCTGGGATACGAATTGGTGCCCATGTGGGATGCCAGCACTGTAGGCCTGGGCTTCACCCCACTGTGCCACAGCCCCTATTATTTTTCTTAATGAAACTATGGAGGAAAAAAGATACCTTATCTTTAATTGAGTGACAATCAAACTTCTTAAATAAAATGAGTAAAATCCAACACATCATGAACCAAATATACAATAACAACTTGTATGAAAAGACTAATATGTTGACCCCTAGAAAGATTAACTAAAGATAAATAAGAACAACTCACTAGTAGTGAAGATCACACAGGCATGGCCGGGTACCTGGCCCAGCACTTGCGTGCCAGTTGAAATGCCCACTTACCACTCTGAAGCAGTGGGGTCCACGTCTGCTTCTAGCTCTGGAGTCTAGCTGCCTGCCGATGCTTGTCTTGGGAGGCCAAAGTGACGGCTCAGAGTGATTGGGTTCCTGTCTCCTATGTGGGAGACCTGGATTAGCAGGCGCATTTTAAATGTTAGTTCTACCAACCTTCCCAAATAACAATACCTTATGTTAACTTCAATTTTACAAAGTGTCCTGACTCCTGTGGTTTCAATAGAAATGACCCTTTTGCCTTTCAAATAGCTGAGTGAATTAGATGGGGGAGATGCTGGCTGGAAAAGGCACAGGTGTCTTGCCCAAGGTCCCCTGGGTGGTGAACTAGACTCTGCTCCTCTTGCCTCTTTGCATGGAGCTCTCCCCTCCAGCTGCCCTGCAAGTGTCATGTGTCCTGGATACGTGACCTCGTAATCCTGGCCAAGATGCCCCCCCGCCCCGGTTAATGGTGGCTCACTGAGTCGATCACATCAGGAGAGGCATTAACCTGTACCCACATCTCTCTTTCTTTATTCTGAAAATAAAGACGATAAGAGATGCCAGCTGCCTGGAATGGTGGTGTGAAGATTAATGAGATGATGCGGGAGCAAGCCCCCAGCTCCTGGGATGAAAGGCGTCAAGGAGACACAAAGTCTAATTATAATTTCTTAACAGTTTCAAAGGAGCCTCTGGGAGGGCGAGCTCTGGCTTCTAAATTTGGAGAGGGAGCCTGTCTGAGATGGGAGCTTTTCTCTTGCCTGGCCGTGCCAGCAGTCACCTACTTATGCTGCTCTGCCCAGCCCTGCTCTGACGCAGTGGCACTCAGTCTATCTGCAGATCTGGTCATCAGAAGTT